CCACTCATTTTATTTACTGCGTCATAAGCTCCAAGTGCTTTTGCTCCAAATGCTAATGCTTTTGTTCCCATTGCGCCTAAAGCTGCCCAAGCTACCATTTACACCATATTAAAATCATCTCTCTTCAATATTATCTCATAAAAGTTCTCGTTACTGGAGAAAGTCAATGAAACATAAGCGTTCTCACGGGCTTCGCCCTTACCGCTTTGCGGTCTATCTAACTTCTTTCTTATATCATCTATACGCTTCAAAATGTCTGAACAATTGCTAACATCTTCTACAATAGTTATTTCATCATGAATGACCTTCAAGAACAAGCTCATTTAATATGCAATTAAAATCATTTCAATAATGAGTCCATCCTTTCCATCTTTAGGTAGCACAACATCTTTCATTGAAGAAGGTTCGACAAGTCTTATGTTAAACTTACTGACAAAGTTTGTTATACTATAATGCTTCGGCGGCGAATACATGTAGTTTGAAAGACATAATATAGATTCTTCAGCAAATTCACTTATACTGGATTTTATAACAATGTTCTCACGAGACCAAATGCCACCAATTGACAATCTTGTAAGCAATCCTGCTGAACCTTCAACTGTAAACGTCGATGGTAACATTCCACGAAGGTCATCTATTGACATCGTTGAGTCACTGTATTTAAATATTTTCTTAAAGCAATCGTCATTATCTAACCATGCAATAGCTTTGAAGTTTTCATTCGAATATACATCTGCTTCATTAAATGTAAAACCTGACTTCTTTGCAGAGATGACTTTAAAATCTATTGAGTTTGTTTCAAAATTATATGCTATGGTAACTTCTGAAGGTAATGGATGTCCTTCCGCAGTAAGTTGTTCTCTCACTACCGTTTGAAGCTTTGTGTTAAAAACTTTCATGTCATCTCCTATATCTAAGTTCACATACACAGCAACAGGAAAACTATCTTGCTTCTTTGTTTCATCATTATACCTCAAAACATTAAAGTTCTTCAATAATATTGTTCTTCCTGCTGGAATACTTCGAACCTGTCTGATTTCAATAGCTTTCTCACCTCCTACATACTCTACCCAGTGTCTTGGATATTCATAAGTATACTGACTTTCTTGAATTTTGGTAGGTTTCATCATAACGTGTTCATAGTATATCTTTATACTCTTGTCAGTTAGACTCGGTGCTATGTTCTGAATATTTCTGACTTGCATTTTTAATGGAGATAAAATGAAGCATTTAATACATGACGTAGATGAAGACATGAATGAAACTACAGACAAACTTAACTCTTCTCTCATTCTTCCTTTCAGTAAGGACTATGAGTTCTGTTCAAATGGCGTTTATTTCTATTGTGGAAAGATGGGTTCAGGTAAGACATTTAACCTCATTCGTCATATACTCATAACAGAACGTTTAGGAAACGACTCTTACTATGACCAAATCATTATATCAGCAACTTCAGACTCTATGGACTCAACAGCGAAAACATTTATGTCAAAAGTTCAAGCCTCTGTCGTTAAAGTTCCAGACAGTGAACTCATTGAATTTCTTCAACGTTACATTCGACGTAAGAGGAAATATTATGCCATCGTTGAATTTATACAGTCAGGAATGCAAAAGACTTCAGAAGAGATGGAAAGAATTATTGACAAACACCACTTACGTCAATACTCAGGAGTTTACGATATGAAACGACTTACAAACTACATTCTGTCAAAACTTTCAAAATACCCCTTCAAAAAGTATCCTTCAAACACTCTGCTCGTTTGTGACGACTTCGCCGGAAAAGGTTTAGTGTCAAAACCTGACTCACCATTAGCTAACATCATTACTAAAGTCAGACATTACCACTTAACTGTAGCAATACTTATGCAAACATGGAGGTTTTTAGCTTTAAACATAAAACGTCTCATAACTGACTTCGTTATCTTTCAAGGTTTCTCACGTTATGATATTGAACTCATTTGGAAACAGTCAGGTATAACATTACCTTTTGAAGAAATTTGGGAAGCATATAAGTCTCTCATCTCTCCTCGTTCATACCTTGAGATTCATATCATGACTAATACCATTAAAGTCAAAAATATTCCATGGGAACGACCAACATTGTTTTAAAGTTTAACCTTCAATTGACTGATGGTAAACAAATTCCATGCATCTCTGTCGCCATTTCTGTTAATATTTTTGCTGTCATTCATATCATCCACTTCTCCATCCGTTAGCTTTTGAGGATATGTGTTAGAATAGCTGTTCTTAAATGAGGCTTTTCACCTTTGAGAGCATAAACTCTATAACTTTCTGCATACTTTTGTTTGAACCTCCTGAGCCATCATTGACATAAATTTTTATAGGCTTCCACCCTTTGTTCATGTTCCTGCTTCTTCCCTTAGCTCTTTTGTTCAGTAGTTCTACATCTTTATACACAGCACCTGTCTCAGTGAATTCAACAATATTTTCATTCGTTAGCTTTACATTCAAACCCTTGTCGAGTATAATTGTTCATTTCATACATATAAAAGGTTTTTATTCTATATGAAATGAGAAGCAAATCCATCTTAGCTGGTGCCGTTAATGTTCCAATTGAACCAACATCAAATGTTGACTCACGAACGACAAACAATATTGTCATAAAGAACTATAGTTCAGAGTGTTTGAAAGAACCAGAACCAGAGCTGAAATCCGTGAATTTAAACTCAGCTTCAAACGCTAACGCTACATCAGATGTTAAGTTAGAGTATCCACCACTGGACCAAATTCTTTCAAGAGAAGCCAACGACAATCCTTACACAAATGTTCAAACAAATCCTTCAGATAACGTAGACCATTACCTTCTTCAGTTATACCAAACAATTTTACTCAAAGACGATAAGAAGCTTTTGACAAATCTTATAAGCAAGAACCAAATAATTCTAACAAAGGAGGACCTTGAAAATGTTATATCACGAATAACAGGGAAACAATGTGTCATTGACTATCTCGACCCTGAAATCGAATGCTGTGGTCAAACTCCAATATTCATGAAAATAGGTAACATCCGCATCATTGAAACACCAGGAACTACAGGAGTTGAGTTTAAGTATAAATATTCGAATGAATATACAAAACTTTCAACAGAATATAAACTTTGCTTGAAATATGTTTTAGTAAATTAAAGCAATTTGTAATATCTATCCAAAACTTCTTCAACAGTATCGAACTCATCTTCATAATGCAAACCTAATCTTATTGACTTGGTGCAGTTTTCACTAACACAATATAGCGCTTTGCGCTCGGCGCCTTTGACGCCTTTTTCTGTTCTCTTGACTGACATAACTAACTCATTTGTTTCATCAAACAGCAACAACCAAAGTTCATGACCTAATACATAACATTCATACTTTATATTTTTAGCTCTGAGTTCTCTTGTAAGCTGTTGCATTTAATATTTTCTAAAAAGTCAACTTCAACAGTCATTCGCACTGGTGCCTTCAGTTCTACAGGCTCTCCTTGAAAGTCAACAAGTCTGAATTGCATGTCTTTCAAATTATGAGGACTAATGCGAATCCATTTACCTAAATGAGTTGCTATGACAGGAACGTTTGGAATGAACATTGAATTGACTGCATAACAGAAAGACTTATATTCTACTGAACCTTTACTATTAACTCCTGAAATACCTGTGACATTAGCTATTTTTGACTCAATGTACAAACAATTGCCATAACATACGTATGGAACAGATTTCATCTCAATCGTTTTGTCAACACTTTTCAAAGGAAATGTCATATGGTATGCACCCAAAAGAAGTTGTACTCTATGACTCATTCGTGTTATCTTAAACTCCTTCGCATAACTGAACTTCAATGTTCCCTCAGAAGAGAGTTTGACATCTATGTTGCCAATAGTTTCTTCATTTATGAGAGTATCTATGACTCCAGCAATTTTATCTATTCTATACTCTGCTCTGTTAGGAAATGTTATAAAACTTCTTTTGTCATCTATTTCAATCTCTATGAAATCTGTTTCATCTGTTATGACAAAAGTTGCGATAGTATTGAAGTCAACAACTCTGAAAGCAAGTGCTTCATTCTGAAGCCCTAAGTTTGTTTGTAGCTTTACTGTCCCGTATTCGTTTGGGTCTGTACTTTGCAAATAGAACAACATTTTATTCTCATTAAAATATGACTATTGCTGCATATGCGTATGAAACAAATGAAGCAAGAAGAGCACATGAACTAGTAAACGAAAACTCAACTTTAACCATTGAAGGCAATGATTTAGTCATTGACGATGGAAAAACTAAAAAAGTCATTGATTTCGATACTTTTAACACTTATGACCCATTCATTACAACAAGCAAGGTTCCCATCATAAATGATGGAACGGTGCAATATATAAATTCAACAGTAGATGCCTCATTAGTGAAAGTACTGAATGTTCTCATTGAATTGTTAAAGAGCTTTCGATTTGACGACAACATTAAATGCCTAAAGAATTTAGTCATGAATGAGAAACAAATTCTTGGCGTTGCTGGTAGCAGTAATGATGTACACCTTATGACATTAGAATATTATAACGAACATAAAGATGAACTGAAAGGAGAGAAGGGTGACACTGGACCTCAAGGACCACAAGGAATACAAGGAATACAAGGAATTCAAGGAATTCAAGGCGAAAACGGTTTGGATGGAAAGGATGGAAAGGATGGAAAAACTGCTAAATCATGGATATGGGACCTTATAAATACTGGTTTAACAGCTGCTTCATATGGAGTTCTTCAATACCAAATCGGAAAGATATGGGCAGTACTTGGTGAACAAGTTTTAGATGACGTTAAAAATGCTTTGAACTTCATTTCAAATGGTTCGGATACTATTAAAACTTTATCTGGTTGGATGCAAGAAACAAGGAGTCAAATAGATACTGTAAGACGTATAGCAAACAATGCACGTACGGGATTGGATACTTTACGACAAGCACAAAATACACTAAAGGAAGCAAATGATATTCTTGGCTCAGTATCAGACATGCATGAAGATTGGCTTAAAGGTATTGACAAATCTTTAAAAAATCACAGTCAGTCTATTACTGACTACAAGAAAAGTATAGATTTTTTACATAGTGCTATGGACGTACATGATGGAAGCATAAGGAACTTACTTAATGCTAACAATAACTTACCAGGAACTATTAAAGCATTTATAAAGTCCTTTGTAAAACCTGGTGCTCTAACATTTAGGTCTTTGAGAGCAAGAGCATTGAAGTCAAGAGATGCAGAAACTCCAACAGAACCTACAGAAGGAACTGAAACAACAGAAACTCCAAAAGAACAACCAAAACCAACAGCTAATGAAATATTGTTCGAATATTTTCCAAGGTACTCTGTTCTCATTGCATACATTCAAGAAATACTTAAGAAAGCAGACTTGACTTTAGGAGATGATGAAAGTTCTGTATATCTTTCGTTCCAGTTTCAAATAGCAGAACTTTTGAGACAGATATGCTTAATGTATGACAACATCTCTGATTTCACAAGATATGATGACGACCATGACCCCCAACACGGTGAAGAAGAAGTTTTACAAACATCCATTAAGACAGGAAAGGTTTTAACTCAAAGTCTCATTATTGACACCAAAGATGGCGAAGTGGACGTTCTTCAAGAGCTGAAGAAAAATACTTCTTCGGGAGGTGGTGGTAGGCATGAACTTGAAATAAATGAGATAGAAGAGAAATTAGCCGAAAAAGCAGATAAAGAACATAAACACAATATCTCCGATATAAATGAACTTCAAGCTACATTAAATAGTAAAGCGGACAAGAACCACGTTCATTATATAACTTCAGACGAACAGATTATAACGGACTACCATGGATATTTAACACGAAGTGATGAAGCGAAGACAAAAAATGTTAATGAAAGAAGATATAAATACATTCGTGCTAAAGGTTATGACATAAGCTGTACTGTACAGTATGATGTAGCTAAAGCACCAGAAGCATTTGGTTATACCGGTGAAATTTATGCCTCTACTTTCAATGTTAACGGTGTATTAGTTGAACCAAGATTTACTTTGAGAGTTAAGTCAAAAATAACGTTTGAAGATGTTATTAAAAGTAAAGCGGACAAAGATGAACTTGAAGCAATGAACAAAGTTTTGAAATCTCATAAACACAATATCTCCGATATAAATGAACTTCAAGCTACATTAAATAGTAAAGCCGACAAGAACCATACACATAAATCCTTCACTACTGTTAGAGCAGACGACATAATATTGAACTTTGACCTTGGTTCAAGTGCACCATTAGAGAATCCGAGTACAAGCGTAAAAGATACTCTTAACAATTTAGATAAGAGTTGCAGGAATATCGAAGATCATGCCAGAAACTTTGAAGCATATGAACTACCCGCAATGTTAGATAAGAAAGCAGACAAAACTTATGTGGATGCAGAACTAACAAAGAAATTTTCGAAACCAGATACAATGATATTTACAACAGAAATTATAAATGGTGAACCAGCAACTCCATTTGAATTTGTTAGAGGTCTTCAACCAGATACTTTTGAATTTTTCTTGGATAATTCTATTGAACTAACATTACATTATAAAAGTGGAACAAATGCAACATTTCATCCGGGAGATACATTCCAAATGGTATTTAATGACATAAGTTCTTTAGAATATGTTTATAGAGTTATGAGCATATATGATTTAATATATCCTATAGGAGCTGTTTATACGTCTATGAATCCAATAAATCCAAACACTTTATTTGGTGGTAGATGGTATGAAATAGTTGACAGTTTTCCATTCTACACTAATACGCAGTCAATGAAGATGGGAGGTTCAAAGAAAATAGGTATTGAAAACCTTCCTTCACATATGCATAGGTTCAGTGGAAGAACATCTGTGGAAGGAAACCATTCACATTCAATAACAAAAAGAGGTTATATAAATCTTGCAGCGGGTTCGAATAGACAGGGAATGAACAGATATGATATCTCAGATGACCCCAAAGATGTTAGCACAGGTATTTTCTGTGGAACTGCAGGAAATCATACACATGTTGTAGCTGGTATTACAGACCCAGCAGGTAATGGAAAAGATTATATGCCTCCTTATATAACAATGCACGCTTGGATACGAGTTGGTTAAAATCTTTAACTTTACATAAATGAGCTTGAAAGAAGTATTCGAACAACATCCATGGAGGTCATTTAAGAAGTTCAATGAAGCTGCAAAGAGTTGGGGATTTACTAACAGAGCTGAAGTGAAAAGGTTCTTTGACAAAAATGTTGTACATCAAACAAAAATAAACCCTTACGACTACTTTTTACCAATTTACTCCAACACTCCTGACGCATACCAATTTGACACTCTCATTCAAAGCAGAAAATGTGGTCATAAACCATTCCTCATCTTCATTAATGTTAACACTCGTAAAGCATATGCATATCCAATGAAAAATAAAGGAACTCGTGAAGTGTTAAGAGTTTTACAAAAGTTTGTAGCAGACATAGCCCAAGTACTTTAACATCAGACCAAGACAGTGCATACCTCAGCAACGAAATCACAGATTTTCTCATTAAGCATAACATAACTCACTACACTACTGAAGACCATAACCATAACATACTCGGCATCATAAACCGCTTCATAAGAACGCTCAGAGATTTAAATCAAGAGCGAGACTTTACCGAAGAAACAATGAAACATTTTCTCGAAGTATATAATTCCTCAACACATTCTACAACAGGCCATACACCAAATTCAATGACACAACAACAAGAAGAAAAGTATATACAAAAGAAACGAAGCCAAACACAAAATATCAGAAATTCAACACAATTTACCCTCATTCCTGGTACAAAAGTTCGTGTAGTTCTTGACGACAAACCGTTGACAAAGAAACGTTTAAGGTTAAGTAGAAACTATTATATCGTAGACTCTACGCAAGGTAATGGATATCTTATAAAAGCTGCCGACGACTCTATTGCGTTTTACCCTCGTCAGAAATTAGTTGAAAGTAGTAATGGCAAACTTGCTGAAACCATTGACGAAGCAAAGCGAGGAGTGGTTATTGAAATACTTGACTATAACATAAACGATGACACTTATAAAGTAAGATATGAAGGAGGTGTTGAAGATGTTATACCATCTAAGAACTTGAGAGAGTCAAAGCCAACACATCTGGGACCATTAGAGCGGGAGTACTGGAAAGACAAAAATATGCCAGAAAGAATAAGAAAATTCTTCTAAACTTTTTCATTAGATGTAAATCAGACATGAATGAGAACAGTCATGATATCATTAATGGCACCATTTATTTACACCAAAAATATGTTTAGGGTAGATGGTTAGATCTAACCTCATTTCTACCCTCATTTCTACCCTCAGCCGCTAAGCGGCGAGACCCAAAGGTCTTGAATTTTCATGAATTTCCTTAAGACAGAAAAAATAAAGTTAGTTTTATTTTTATTTATTTTTTTATTTTGTATGTAAAGACAGTAATGTCAACAACAGAGAACACAACAACTGCTATCGTTCATGAAGCCATTAATGAAGAATACGAATACATACAATATAACAAACAGTTACGTCTCATTCGTTCAGTCAAAGATGACATGTATCAAATGCAAAGTATAATGAATGCTCTTCGTTCTACAAAGCAAGCACATCATTGGTTTGAAAACCAACAGACAAAAGAACTTTTAGAAGAATTTCCTCATATGATTGCTTCCCTCGGAAAACCGAGAGAAGAGATTCCGTACGAAAATCGCAAGAATTTGGCTCCTGGTTTGAAAGGTTATTATGTTCATAGACTTTTAGTAAATGCTGTAGCAATGTGGGCTTCACCTCGTTATGCTTGTTATATTTTCATGATGTTAGATGAACTATATAAAGCAGAACGTGGAGAGATGGAAAAGAAACTTCAAGCAAAAGATGAAGTCATTGAATCCAAAGACAAAAGCATACAGAAAAGAATACCACGTTCAGTACCAAAAGGAAAGGAAAAGAGTTATAAGTATATGATTTACGCTGAAGAGTTGGAGAAAGAAGAAGATAGAGATATGGTTATGTTGCATTTAGTCAGAAGAAACAACAAGAGCTTTTATGACCTTGCTAAGATTTACAAATCTGACAGAAATTGGTTCTATCGTGAAAACTTACCGATTTCAATGACACCGAATGAGCAAATAAAAGAAATTGTCAAAAATACTCTTCCTCAAACACACTATGACATCAAAGGTTGCACAATACTTACATTCAAAGAAGACTTAACATTACTGAAGGAAAAAATAACAGAATATTTCGATAACTTCAAAGAGGAAGAATAAAAAAATCTAAGCTAATTTTATTTTTTTTATAAAATTTTATCTCATATGAAAGAACACGAATTTAGAATATTCGGAACTCATGACAGAAGAAGAGAACGAACAACATGTAAAAGATTATGCAAAATTTCTGAAGACATACAAAGCATTTAAACAATATCTAAATGCTTCTAAAGATTATGCAAAATTTCTGAAGGTATATAAAGCTTATGAAAAAGCGTATGAAAAGTTTATACATTGGGGAATTGTTGTAAAATATCGATATGAAGACTAACCAAAAATATATTTTTGCTTAAATAGCTTCAGGGTCAATTTCTTCAACCATTTCACTTCCTTCGTCAATGTCAATAGAAGCTTCTTCAACCTTTGGTAAGAATTTCTGTATAACATCTTTGTTCGTTATTGTTTTCAGAGATGAAGGATAATATTTCACATTTGTTTCACCTTTCTTATATTCTTTCTGTTCGGAAAGATTCATAGCAATACTGAAGAAGTCAATGTTAGAGTTCTTTATAACAGTATAATGAGTATCTTTGACATTCACGAAGAAACTCTTTTGTTTCAAAACTACTGCTAACTCTTGTGAAGTATAACGTTTGCGGTCAATGACAATAGCTAATGGTCTGACATACTGACCAAACTTAGATTCTTTCACAAACTTCTTGTTAAAGATAACATTAACATTTGCAGAACCATTGAACTCATTCTTGATGGCAGTAGCGAGAGTATTGTATGAAAAGAACTTGCAATCTTGCATGTGTTTCATTAAAATAAAAATATTAAATTATTTTGAAAAATAACTTTAAAAAATCTAATCTAATTTTTTCAAAAAATATTTTTTTATTTCCTACTAAAGATGTATCGGAAGTTGTCTAAGTTAGAACACTCGGAAATAAAACAACTTCTTACAGAAGCTAATATAGATGTTGCAAAGCATTACGCAACAAACAAAAAGGCACTCACTGACATCCTCAATGACTATAATGGTGCAATAACTTATGATAGAATTCATGAGTTCATAAAGCCGCAACACGGCGAGGACGAAGTCCATGCAATAGCATTTCCTTTAAATGACGTTGCTATTGACTTATATCATAGACGTTCAGTACCTCATGAAGTAAGAAGAGAAATGTTTGACATAACAAATGCGAACGTTGGTGAAACAAGAAGAAGAGACGACACACTGAAACAACAGAGAAGAGAGATGTTTAAAAGTGCTATAGAACAAGTTCGCAAAGCTAACGATGTCATTCGTTCCATTGACGACAAACCAAAAGAAGGTGAGAGATGGTTAAAGAAAGATGAAGAGAATAGGAAGAGAAATGTGAAGTCAGGCAATAGACTCATTGACTTTAACATCGAAGCTTTAGATGAACCAAACAGAGACTACTTACACAAACATTTCGGTAAGGTTTTCATGAGACTCTTAGAGAAAATTAAAATAAACTCACAACAGAGATGGATGGTATGTTATAAACTTGGTGGAAAGTATGAATGTTCTACGTTAAACCTCAATAATATTGGAACATTACTACATCAGCTCTTGAAGGAGAACTTTATATCAGAGATAGAAACAAATGCTGCAGGTATTGTTGAAATGCACTATGATTTCTTCTTGACAAACATAAAGAATCTTACCGAAATAAAGATGTATGATTTAACAGAATATGAAGGCTTAACGATGTCAGATGTTAAGAAAGGCAAACCAAAAAAGAGACCATATAGAGATGAAAGCACACTGACAGAAAGACAGAAAAGATTATTGAACAGACTTAAACAAACAGGAGATAAACAAGATATAGATGACTTCTGGAATGAAATCCTTGGTGAAAAGAAGTTTTATAAGAAGAGAAGCGGTCAGTTCTGGAAGTATCTTTGCACATTACCTATAAATCTTGAACGCTACCAAATTTTCAATGAATTGAACAAAAGAACTGCAACACTTATGACAGAAGACAATTGTTTCGTTTATGCTTGCATTCAGGCTGGAGTAGATGGAGAGACTATTGACCACATGAGAGAAGTCATTCGTGTTAGAGACTTTCCTCAAAGTAAAGTACAAGAAATTTCTGACGCAACAGGTATAGCATTTAATGTTACCATTGGTTACTTCAATGACTCAAGACATAATGAAATAAAGAGATATATACCGAAAGAATGTGAAACTGTTAGAACTATTGACTTACTTCTTGTTGAAGACCACTACATGCTAAACGAAAGATTACCAATGACAACATATTTCATTCGCAACTATATAGAAATCTTGAAGGAGTGTGGTGGAATGAACAATGAGAAACAGATGAAGATTTATACAAAGAGAGAAGATAAATATGTAGTTCGCATGGATAGAACAACACCGTTATGGGATGTTATGAAAACATTGTGGGAGTGCAAATATTTCGAACCTATTTCTTATGGAGAACTTTTCACATATACTACTGACTTATATAAACAGAACCTTGCACCATTTAAAGATTTGACATATGCTCCAAAGTATTGTGTACAACTGAAGAAGAAAGCCGAGTCAAAAGAAGTAAATAAAAATAAGTGCAAGTTCATTCCTGAGCACGTTTTCTTTGCTGACTTTGAGTGTAGTACAGACGGCTTTCATAAAGCTTTTAACATATGTTACGACAGTGAAGATGGTTCAGTGAGTGAAAGCATTTGGGGTCAGAACTGTGCAACAGAATTTTTGGAACGACTTCCTGACAAGAGTTTAATATATTTCCATAACCTCAGTTATGATATAAACTTCATCTTAAGACACATGACAGAAGTGAAAGGAACTCCCATCATTAAAGGTTCACGAACAATGCAAATAACTGGCTTATATAAAGGAAGGGCAATTATTATAAAAGACTCTTACAGTGTTATAAATAAGAAGCTTAAACTATTTCCTGCTATGTTTAACTTACAAACTGGCCCGAAAGAAGTATTTCCATACAACTACTACAGCAGTACTTTGTTAGCAAATGACAACAGAACTGGTGTCATTTCTGAAGCATGTAAGTTTGTAAAAGATATTGATACATTCATGAAAAACATAGATTCCATCAAAGGTTGCAGAATAGATGAGAACCACTTCGACTTAGAAAAGTATAGCACATTTTATTGCAAACAAGATGTAAGAATTTTAAGAGAAGGTTTTGTTAAGTTCCGCAATGACATATTGAAAGAATTTGATTTAAACGTTTATGACTACGTTAGTATTTGTTCAATTGCTAACAAATTGTTTGAGAACAGAGTATACTTCCCGAATGGAAATTTATATGACCTCTCAAATAAACCAAGAGAGTTTATTTCACGCTGTATTCAAGGTGGAAGATGTATGTTGTCAGATAACATTAAACAAAAGAGCGAAAAGAAACTCATTGCTGATTTCGACGCTGTTTCATTATATCCATCAGCTATAGCAAGACTTTATACTTTAGAAGGTATTCCAAAGGTTATGAAGAAAGAAATGTTAAGCACAGAGTATCTCATGAGACATTTATTGATGACGACCAAAAGGAACCCATTGGTGAAAAGTTTATGTCGGCTTCTTTGTTCTCATTAAGATAACAGAGATTGGAATACATAGACACTTTCCTTTAATAGTTTGTGACCCTGAACTAAATCCAGAACTTAACGTTCCCAGAAGTTCAAACACTTGCTGTTTAATGTATGTTGACCATATAACATTACAAGACCTCATAAAATATCAAGGTGTCAAATGTGAAGTGTTGCAAGGATACTATTACGATGGAAACAGAGATATTAGAATAAGAGATGAAGTAAAGAAGTTGTTTGAGTTAAGGTTAAAGTATAAGAAAGAAGGAAATCCTTTGCAAGAAAATATAAAGCTCATTCTGAACAGTATTTATGGCAAAACTATTCTATCTCCTATTGAGTCAAAAATAACCATAGTAAATGACAAAGATGCTATAAGATATGCCATCAGAAACTACAACCATATAGTGAAGTTCGAAGGTTTGGATGGTTCAGATAAAACTATTTTCAAGCTAACGAAAAGCATTTGCAGACACTTTAACTTCTGTCCACTTGGTGTTAACATTCTGTCTATGTCGAAGAGAATAATGTGTGAAGTATTCTGTACTGCAGAAGATATGGGACTTCAAATATTTTACCAGGACTGTGATAGCATGCATATTTTCAATGAAGACATACCACTGTTAGCTCAGGAATTTCAGAAGAGATACGGTAGAGAACTTATTGGTAAAACATTAGGTCAGTTCCATTCTGACTTCGCAGAAATAACACCTGGAAAACAAAGTTTAGCATACAAGTCAATATTTTGTGGAAAGAAGACTTACATAGACTTACTCACGAATGATTTAAATGAAGTTGCATTCCATGCACGTTGTAAAGGTGTAAAACAAGACGTTCTTGCTTTAACAGCTAATGAAATGTTTCCTGACTCTGTTCAGTGTTTCTATGATGAAGATAAAGGTTTAATGGTTCCGCAAGGAAAATTTGACAAAGACTCTGAGTTCAGTGTTATGAAGTTATATAAAGCACTTTATGACGGTCAAGAGATTGCATTCGACTTATGTAAGTCGTGTCAACCTTGCTTTGCTGAAAAGTTTAACTTTTCTATTCAGACTAAGACTTCATTCATAAGAAAGCTTAAGTTCTGAGGTCATGAATGAGAAAAATAAGCCGCTTAGCGGCAAGGGCGAAGCCCATGAGGTCATTTATTTTTGTCAGCAGTGAGACCATTCATGATAAAAATAAGCCGCTATCAGCAAGGGTGAAGCCCATGTGGTCATTTACAATACTGCGATGGTAGAGTTTAAGAGTTGTGCTTCAATGTAGAGACAGTCCTTATGGTCTGGAGGTAAGAACACTGGGCAGTTATGGTCATGAGTGGAGAACATGTCTATCCAAAACTCACGATTGAAGCCAGTTAATTTATAGTATTTAGGGTTAGGAAGTGGTGAAGTTCTTGTATGACCAATGAACTCATTTTCAACTCCCTTACTTAAGTTTGAATATAATATAGCTTGCTTTCTATCCCAAATGCCAGGTGTTACAATCTTTGAAAATTCATTTTTCCTCGGAAGCATTGCATCATAATTGAAAACATTCTTGAAATCATCACTTGGTTCAGAGATTTGAAATCTTATACGTAATGGATTTTTTTTCTTTTAGCTACTTCATTGAATGGTGAGAATACAACAAACTGACAGTCATGTGTTCCATCTTCATTTTCATTAAATTCATAATGAAAGTCTATAAGTTGTGGCTGACTACCTTCTTCTTTCAGTTGTGTAAGAAACTCACGTAAAGGCTGTAAAGTTTGTACTTCAATGTTGAACTTTTTCTCGAACATCTCATTAAATGAAATCATACATTGTTGCAATGTTGTATCGTCTTTAAAGTATTTGTATATGTGAACGTTTGGGCGCTTAAAGACTGTTCGTCATTTTCTATCTCGACTTGAAGTATAAAGTCAACCTTTCTGAAAGCACGTGTTATATACATAGATGTTATGCCAATGTACTTCTCTTCATTAATGTTCACAATCCAGTCTGTTGGAAACTTAAACGTTACTCTGTTCCCCTTTATTTTGACGTCAGGGTTTTCACTACTGAACGCAACAGATAAAGGTATTTGTCTATACATTTAATTCGGATAAAAATAAACCATTTACTCTTTCTTTGCTTCAGCTTCTTTAGCTTTTGCTTCAGCTTCTTCTCTAGCTTTCTTCGCCAGCAAACGTGGGTTCTTCTGTCTTCCAGCAGCTAATGCAGCTAGTTGTTTTTCACTAAGTTTTCTCTTTGGTCTCTCTGGCTTTTGTTCTTGTTTTTGTTCCTTCAGTTCGGATAAAATTTGCTCGCGAATTTCTTTCTTCAATGCTTCAACATCTATGACCCTTGGGTCTTGTCCGTAGGGCTTGTCTGAGTCATTTGACTGCAGATAAAAAACAAAATTAAAACTTTAACCGATGTAAAATGAGCTTGTCAAAATCAGAGCGAGAGTCTATTATATTAAATGACGCAAGAGGAATACAACATCCTTTCTATTACGTAAGTCAGAGTAAAGATGGTAAAATATACGTAAGAAAAAGAAAGGTTCCATTAGCGAATGCAGAAAGCGACAACATTAAGGTGTATGGCAAGGGTGAAGTCACGAAGCCCATGTTAAGCCTTCTATTCAAACTGAAAAGTCAATAGAACCAGAAGAAAAGAAGCCAGATGTACTTTCAATAACGAACCAAGAGCTTATTGCAAAGTTCGTGAATTTCATTGAAAAACAAACCGAGTCAAAGAACCCTGACCCGCCAGTGAAAGAAGTTGAGACAAAAGAGAATGTACAGTTCATTGAAAATGTCAAGAAACAACTTCCACCACGAATGCCAAGAAGAAGAGTGAGAATAATGAAGTAAATAGATATTTTTATCTGAAGTAAATACATGCAGAACGAACAGTTAAACGAATTTACTCCAGCAGAGCATATTCATCAGATTCGCTCATATTTCGATATCATAGACAATGCAGTTCAAATTGGTGACACTAATAGAAAATATTCTGACGCAAAGATTCCATCACAACCTGGAACTGCTAAAGATAACACATGGGTAACATTCAATCTCTCACCTCCTGGTGAAAATATATTGGACCTTTACAATACATTCATTACGTATAAAATGGAAGGTCAATTTATTGTAGATAAAGAAATTGGTTCAGGTTCCAATAAAACAAACCCACCAGGATTTTGGATTGGTTTCGATGACGCTTTCTATGCAGTTGCTGGATATCAAAATCCTTGCAAATGGTCGTATCGTATATTCTCAAGACAACGCAAGAGAAGAAGCATATATAACTTCAAACTCACAAACTACCGAACAAATAAAGAAAGTAGATGTTTTCTCAAAGACTCGACATGAAGATGTATGGAGTCATTCGGGAACATGCAGAACAGGACAAATTGTTAGTGGTCCAATTACAGCAGGAAAATCATTTGATTTTAAGCTTCGTTTAAGAATTCCTGTTAGAAGATTCCTTCCATTAGAAGCTATTCGATTTATTCCAGCTTTTGCTGGTAACATTCAGCTTAAAGTAAAGTTCAGTAGCGACGCCTTACAATGCACATCTATATCTGTAAATGATATCATTGCTTTCAATCCAACTCTTAAAGTTGCATTTGCTTCAGATTCAAATCCACCGACAAATAAATTTGTTCCATGGAATGAACCATTCACTATGATAACGAAGGCAGTAGAAGCTAGTGGAACAGTTACTATTACAACTATAACCCAGCAACTATTCGAATAAAGATGGATTTTAATGAATGTTTTATTCATCCAAAGTCATTCTCTTTAGACCCTAACATTTATACAGAACTTGTAGAACATTATACAAACGAGGCTTTATGTTTTCCTGTTAAAGTTATGGATTGGATTCCTATGGATGGTTCATTCTCAAAGAATACAGATAGTTCAAGTGCAACATTTACAGCAGCTTATACGCCTATTAATGTTAAAAGTATTTGGGCACTATTTAGAAAGAAAGACAACTATTATGTTAATTTTGAGAACCCTAAGTTTAAATATCTTCAGCTTTCCATGGGAGCTTATGGAAATATGCCTGCAGAACCTGAAAAATCATATGGACCTGTATTTTATGAAATGGTTGCGAACGCCTGCAATACAAACAATGATTGATAGGATTTAATGAAGATGTTATGAGGTCATTGGTGGATGATGGTAGTGTGGAACATAAATGGGATAGCTATGACAACACACATTTCTTATGTGGTTTTCCAACAGAAGTGGACTTTTGCTTCCAGCAAGGTCAAACATCTACTGCTCCAATAACATACAAATTGTCTGTTAAAGGACCTATTGAACTAGCAACTGAAAATGTACCAAAGCCACTTATTGGATTTATGAGGGATTGTTGCTTTGCCATTCAGGTGCGTGCTAATGGCATCCCCATAATAGATTAGATGACTATAACTTAGCTACGGACGACGGTGAGGAATAAAGGATGAACGTTTATTTTTAAAGCTTATAAATGAGTTCCATCAAGCTCTCGTGAACCTTCACCATCTATGAAACAAACTTTACCAAACGATTATGGAGCACCTATTGAATATTTCTTACGAGCTGCACAATGGCAAAGAGCAGTCTCACCAAGGTTAGGTGTTCCACCAGCTCTGTCAAAATAGCATTTGGTCAAGTCCTTATATAAAATATGGTCTCCCACTAGGTTTGCTAGCTACAGCAGGAGCAGTTATGATGTTGAAAAGAAATAAAACAAATGTTGTAAATAATACTGAAGTAGCTGAAGTTAAACAAACTCCAACACCTTCACAAGCAAAACCTTCAATGACTCCTGAACCTATGGAATTACAAACTCCTGTTCAAAAGTCAACTCCAAAACCGACTCCAACATTTAAACCAGAACCTACTCCTCAAATAAATCGTAAAACTCCTGCGTTTCCTTACTGAAAAAATAACGTTATTTTTATTTAATATTAAAATTTTTATTTGATTGAAATGACGACTAAAGTCACTGAAGCAATGAAACAAAAGTTTTTGGTAGAATACATTAAATCAGGAACTATTCCAGAAGGTTTTTACATTCATACTATGAAGGATGGTAGAGTTCAGTTTAGAAAGATAAAGCAACCATTAGATAGAGAAGGTATATTAAGGAAGATTAAACTTCATGAGGACAACATTGCTGAACTTAAGAAGAAGTTAGAAGAGTTGGAGAAAGGAAGAGAGTTATAAAACAATGAATTCAACAGGTTAGAAAAGAGGTTAGAAAAGAGGTTAGATCTACCCTTCTACCCTAAGTTTAAATGGATGTTTTCATACGTGTGAGGGTGGTGATATCATTAATTTTTAAGTTTATTTTTTATTTTATTTTTATATTTTATTTATATAAATGACGAAAACTATTGAGATAACAAACTACAACGGTCATGAGTTCAAGAATTTGTTCTTTGTTCCTCGTGAAAATACATTCTATCAGATACGAGGGAGAAAGGGTAAAGTTAGTTTGAGCGTTTACGACAACAAACATAATGGGAGATATATAAAAGCAATAGATACAAATGGTAAACGTGTTTCATTAGCTTTGTCAAAACTTACAGGTATAAACTATGACAGTGATTTTGACCTATATGAAGAAGAAAGTGAGTCAGAAGATTATGAGCTGTTATATGAAGCACAGCAATGGGAGGAGTTGCAATACTTTTGTAAGTGAGAACGTTTATTTTTACATTAGTGAGGTGAAGTGGTTGGCGGCTTTGTAAATATTTAAGGTTAAGTTAGTGTTGTCGTTTGTGTTGTAAAATATACGTTAACGGTTTCGTAAAGTGTCAAATTCACATATAATGAGTAAGGTGGAACGCAGTGCCACCGTACCCATGATATGTATACTAACTAGTGACACTCAGGGAGGAGGAGACCATTCACATCTCGTTTCAGGATATACGCAAACAACGGGACAAAGTAAAGACTACATGCCACCTTACATGACAGTTTACGCATGGTATAGAATTGCTTAGTCGTCATTTTCAACTTCTTTAGCATATTCGTCAGGAGTTGTCTTATATTTGTTAGGAACTGTCTTTGAAAGTATACCACCTTGAACTTTGACAAGTTTGAAACGAGGTCTGACAA